TAGGCTTCAAGTCCCAGAATTCCCCAGCTAGCATGCTGGCTGGGGAATTCTGGGACTTGAAGTCCATACAGCTTAAAGTTGCTAAAGTTGAGAAACACTGCTCTAACAAAATGGCTATCAGAAGACAGTCTCCTCTTTGAAGGTGTTCCTTGTCTGACAGGTTGTCCAGTTTAATGAAAACAGCCTTAAGAAAGGGAAAGCAAAGCTCTTGAATTGATCTGCCAAGAGACATATAGCAACCAATTTGTCCCTGGTGTGGTATGACGTGAAGCATATTTAAGTAGAATCTCAATTTCTAAATGCAATTCTATGCTCATAAATAGTACATGCCATTTTTATTCAAATCTGTGTTCTCTTTTGTCTAACTTTCTGTGAATCATTATTTCTTTTTTTTAGAGTAAAAGGCCAACCTCATGAATGGTAAATTGCTAGATAGCAGTTGCAAATGCATATTTTAGCAAGGGAGCCCTCAGAAGACAGGAAACACCAGAAAAATGTTTTTTTTGACTGGGGGTGGGATGCGGAACTGAGATTCTAATTATCTGATAGGAATTGTTTCATATTAGCACTTTGCAATTTATTTATTTGTCAAATTTATATGGCCACCCATCCCACAAACATGTGACTCTGGACAGCGTACAACAAAGCTAAAAAAAATATTTACAAGATGTTACTAATAACAACTAATGTTATTAGTAACAATTTAAAAATTATGAAATATAAAACTAACAGAAAAAATAAAATATAAATATAAATATTGGGGGAAGAGTAGGTGTTAATAACGTTGGAGTCACCTCAATACTTCACCGGTTCTTTGAGGTCCTCAGGCCTGATGGCACAACCAGGTCTTGAGGAACTTTTGGAAAGTCAGAAAGGACAAAGCCAGCCTTACTTTGGGGATGGGGGAAGAATATTTCATAAAGCGGGCACCACAGCAGAAAAAGGCTCGCTGCCTAGGACCAGCCAAGTGTAGTTCCCTAGTCGACAGGACTGGCAAGCATGATCTCTCTGTTGGGACTGGTGGGGTGGGCAGATGTCACTGGGAGAGGCAGTCCCTCAAGTAACCCAGTCCCATGCCATGTAGGGCTTTAAAGGTCCAAACCAGCACCTTGAATTGGACCCAGAAACAGACTAGCAACCAATGCAGCTTGCAGGGCAGAGGTGTAACATGTGTTCTTCTAGAAACACACATAACTGCCTGTGCTGCTGCATTCTGTACCAGCTGAAGCTTCCAGATACTCTTCAAGGGCAGCCCCATGTACAGCGTGTTACAGTAGTCCAACCAGGAAGTGACTAGGGCATGAGTGACCATGAGTAGAGCCCCTCAATCTAGGAACAGGCGCAACTGGCGCACAATATGAAGTTGAGCAAAACTGACAGGACCCACAGCATGCCCTCTGCTGCATCTGGATCTGCTCTTTGAGCAGGAGTTGTGAGTCTAGGAGGACCCTCAGATTGTGCACGGGGTCTGTCTGGGGCAGTGTAACTGCAATTAGCAATTGCAAATACATATTTTAGTATGGGAGCCCACAGAAGGCAGGAAATAAACACCAGAAAAAGCTTTTTGACTGGGAGTGGGGTAGGGAATTGAGATTCTGATTATCTGATAGGAATTGTTTCATATTAGCACTTCACTTTTTCTCTCTTTCATATAAGTACCATAAAAAAACCCTCTCCTCTGATGTACTTTGGGAGCACTTACTTTTAGTACACAGATATATTGTCAAAAAAGGAGGCTTAGTTCTTTGCCAGTCCATCCGCACAAAGCACCATTATAGAACTAATTAAGTGACCAGGGACATCTACGTTATCTATGTTTGAGTCACAGAAGATATTTCTATAAGGCAGAAGATGTACCATATTAGTATGTACTAAATAGCTAATGCAGGAAAACAAATGACTCATTCAGAACATTATATACATGAAATTTGTCATAATTGTTTCTAAAAATGGTTTCTTATAATCATTTTATATATTGTTACTAGATATATTTGAGTAAAAATTGAACTATAGGATGATGATGGGTTCAACGTCCATATTAATTTAACCTCAGAGCCTCACCTCCTTTGTAACAGGGAAAGTGTGACTTTTCTGTCATCTGGCTATGGTACCCAAGGAGGTTCTCATCCCCGAATACTGATAGGATTTATTGTGAGTGCAACTATATATATATTTACTGGCTTATCAATAAGAGATGCAAACCTCTTCGCACCATATAGGGAAGGGGATGGAATATGTGTTTCAGGTGGTTTTATACTGTATCAAGGTTTGTTTATTTTCAACATCATATAGATTCTATTGGATTAAGGAACGAAATGGCTGTTCATATGGCGGTAGAGACAATATCCATTGCCTGTGTATTATGCTATATGAATGTATATAAAATCATAGAATTTTTCATAGAATAAGGAATATTATGGTCATCTTAGTCCAGCCCCCCCAATCAGTGCAGGTATCCCCTAACCTTGACAATTGGCTATTCAGTTCCCATTTTAAGACCACCTGTTCCAGGCAGGTTCATGGCTTAACAGTTATCACCATCAGGAAATTCTTTCTAATATTCAGCCTTACACTAGCCTTACACCTGTGTTCCAGGACTGCACTAGCTTCCTACAAACTTCCTTGTGCAATTCAAAATGATGTTTTTTTACCTTTAAAGCCCTCATGCTTTGGCACTGAGGTGTCTCCAGACTGTCTCCTCCAGTCAATTTTAGCCTGTCCACTGTGGAACTCCAAAGAGAATCTATTAATACTTCCCTATTTCTGTGAGATTAGGACGATGGAGGCCCACAAATGTTACTTCTCTGGGGCAGCACTAGTGGTACAGAATTCCCTGCTTCCTGCCATCTGATCCATTCCTTCCTCTTTAGACTTCAGGAAATTATTAAAAACAGAAGTGTTTAAGAGGACTTGTGATTTATAGATGTTGCCATCTATTTTTATTCCTACTTGGTTGGTTGTTTTATGACTTTATTGGTGGTTTAATTGTGTGGGGGGGGGGCAGCTTATTCTTCATTGTTATGTAATTGTACCATGGACAGTTTATTGTTATGATTGTAACCCCCCAAGAGACCCTCAACTGTAGTGGGTGAAAAATAATACTTCAAATATTCAGGTGAAATATATAGATATATATAGAACGGTACACTCTGAAGGCAACTCTATACATCTCTCTCTTTCTCCTTTTCCTAGGTCTTAAACTTGCATATTAAAAAAAAGAGAAACACACACAGTCTATTTATAAACCATCCATTTTTGTTTATTTGCTTTATACAAACTTGCAAGGTACAAATGCATTTATTTATTTTTGTTTTGTTTTCCTTGTGTATGTTGTTTTGTTTTGAGAGGAAGGACCTTTTAAAGTAGCTACATCTAGAATGAATGCTGCAGGAAAGAATATTAAGTAAGCCACTGCGGGTTTAATTATTGGAAAGATTATCCCTTGGTCTGGTGTGAAGAACCCCCAAGTCACTGACATACGGTTTTCAATCACAGAACAGCTAATTTTTATAATTGTCATAATCTAAGGTCACTTTTATACAAAAAGAAAAAAGAAAGAAAGACATCAACATCACATTGCTTCTTTGATAACTTTTAACGTCTAACACTAGCTTTTTTTTCTCCAAATAATGTGCATAAATAATGCAGTATTTGTTGGTTGCAGGTGCTGCTGGTATATGAAAATTTTATTAGAAAGGGACACACACACACACACATACACAAAATAAAACAGTTTAAAAACATGTTCTACAATACTGCAAGACTGTGACCCTAAATGCACTCTGCTGAGAACTTAGAGCCTCAGAATGCTTAAAGTGACATTGGCAATAATCAATTACAGATTCTACCTTGCTATGAATTGAGCAGAGGGCTTGAGAATGGTGAGAGAACACTCCTTGATGTTATTTATGTCATTTTAAAGCCTTCCACATTAGCAAAAAAAAAAAAAAAAAGTGCTACTTATATATGTAGGAAGGGAGAGAAAGTGGTTTAAAAGGAATTTGCACTTCCTTGACAGAAAAAAGTGCTGAGACTCCAAAACGTAACACCATCTTTACATTGCCCTCTGTACCTCGAAATACTGATGGAATGATTTTCTGTCAAGATGGTTGCCATGTTTCTCAAGCACCTGCACAAATAGGACCACTACCTCAGAGTCCTCAAAAGAGGTAGAATAAGGAGCCCCGCCCTAAATTCAGAGAGGGCCAATCCTAAATAGATAATCCTTCACATAGCCTAACTAAGGCCTTTCCTCAGCTCTTACTTCATCTCTCTATTAAGCTACTAGTGTTTGGAATAGGTCAAAGATGCTATCACAACAAGGAAAAACGTATGTACCTGCTGAAGGATGCACCTTTTCCCAACTAAGTTGGGTATGTGGAGGTAAATATAGCAGCTTAGAGAGCAATTGTGATTGAAGAGAGGAAAATAAAACAATTGTTTTGCAGGGATATCTCTCTGCTAGCCACACCAAAACGAATTTACTTGAACAAAAGGGAGGTAAAAAATAAGTGGCATCAGCATCTCAAAGCCACCTCTATTGCAAAGGATCCCAGTGGGATAGCTGTACACCAGCGAGACAATCTTTGCGGTCCCTGATATGCTACAGTTCTACAGTTCATCTGACAACGTACCTTTCGAGCCAGAAACTCACCAGGGTTAAGTTAACTCAGCTTTGCTAATTCCATATAAGCTATTGCCAAGTTGCATCAACTGAGCCTTGGGCCCTGGCATAGAAAACATGAACTTACCTAGTAACAAGGAAATAAATGCACCACTCCTCTTACAGACAGCTTTCATTCATTTTAAATAAATTTGCTTTTAATAAAAAGCAGAAAAATATATATTTATTTAAATATGCCTTTTTAAATTTCTTTCTTTAATTCTTTTGATACACTGCCCAAAGCGTCTGCATTTCAGAAACTCAGTGGCAAAACGGGCTTCAGTGGCCCTGTACACAGAGAAAGTTAGCCCAAAAGAAATCAGTATAGTGAGAAGAGGAAACAGAAAACATATATTATATATATATAAAATATATATAAATGTACACGCACATATATCACGGTATAATTTTTAAAAACACATATTAAGGCATGTAGAGGATCATGAAGGGATAGTTTTTTATGAGCTAATAGAAGCTACTGCAAGAGCAGAACAAAATACTTTCATCATCATCTTCATCAACGTGGAATGTCAACTGTATTGCTAAAGGAGAAGAAAGGGTCTAAAATGCTGATTCTCTGGAGTGGTCTATGTA